TGCACTTGACTTTAGCACGAGATGTCACSAAATGCCGGAAAATCGCTCACATTTGGGCTCCGTGTAAAATCATAAGGATMGCTATATTTTTATTGTTAATAGACGCGTTTTTGGAGATTTCTCTGTTATGCACGACTACAGTACTAGCTTGAATAATCTAAATAACACGCATAACTGCTTCTCCTTACACCTGTCACATCATTTTTGACTTTAGAACGAGATATGTCACGACATCCAAGAACGTGACTATTGGAAAATCCTTTGTCCTTTATGGCGAGTTATATTCGYAYGCTGACAGAAAACGCKCACATTCCTTCCAAATCATCTCGGCTCCCAGCAAAAAAACTTGCAACCAAGTTTAGTTTTGGGTACATTTACAGGTGATTTTCCAAAACTTGAACGACTTTTCTTAACTGGGCATGTATAAAACACCCTGCCTTGATTGGGACCTACTTTGCTCACAATAAGACGACGTGACCGACGACCACAGTCGCACAGTGGTGGCGTTACACTCCCGGCATTGTAACGCAACAAAGGTGTACCATTACTGAGGGGCGTGACAGAAAATTTACCGGAGAAYGGCGTGGTCACCTTGGGAGTCTTAAATGATGACATTTTGTTGACAGAATTTGCTGATTTAGGGGTGTTTTTATCACAATGATTGCCAGATTTCTTGGTACTGTCCAGACCACAACCTTGAAAGTTTGTGACAACATTGACAGGATAGCGTGACATGACATGTGTACARTCTACAAGTCGTGGTGTCTTCCCTACTTCTACTGCTAGATTGGAACTTTTTGATGGTCKTTTGAGAGTAGARACATTGAAGCTGGATACTTCACCATTAAAAGGAGAAGAACTTGATGTTGGTGTTGGTAGGCAAAGAGATTGCCTTGCTATACTATGGTTGACTAGTGTACTTGTTGATAATGTGTTACCATTRCCAGATTGAAGAGAGCACTTGACAGAATATGGTGTCACACTAGGTTGCTGCATACTTACTTTATGGCAGTTCTTGCTAATTGACTGGYAAAAACCTGACAATGTCTTGTCAGTCAAGTTGGAGTGTTTTGCAAGTGCAGTCACTGGTGCTATTAATGGTGTRATGTCTCCCTGGCRATTACCTGGACTAGAATCACTGACAGATACCATTGGTGACACCAGTTGACGAGTAGAAGTTGATGATCTGTTTGTGTTTGTGTTTRTCTTGTCATCTTCATCACATYSTGGTTTACCTTTGACAATTCTTGGAGTAAACTGATCATTCTTGACAGGTGTACCATTACCAGTAAATTTTGTCTTGGAATGTTCACTCCTTTTGAAATCATTTTTGATGATTTGATGTAGAATAGGAACACTCTAAAAATGAAGTGGATGAGGTGAATTAAAAAGTAAAAAAAACAAAATCACAAGTTCATTGATAGGACAACATTTCACGTGACAATTCAGCTTTGGGTGAAGTTTAATTAATGAACTGTTCAAAATTGTTGTGGTTACTTCATTGTAAAATATCATCAAGAGATTTTTTAGAGYACAATAACAACAAACAAATGAATTGAATGTGATGGAAATYGCAAAGTAGAACTGAATGACTTCACAAGAAAATTTAACATGTTTATTTTTACAATGTTGCAGAATAATGATAACAATCATATACAGCTATATACATAAATGGCATTAGTTCAATGCGTTGTTTATTGGTATTATTTGACAATTGRTAAAGAGTAACAATACAGCACCATATGTTTGCATTATTCTCTACGCACCACATCAATGGAACTGGTTACATTCATGACACACCCATCTTTGATCATTCGCCAGGATAATTTTGCTGTGTTGCGGGCATCGTCCAATCCTAGGAAACAAATTTTACCCATTCATTAAAGCATATTACAACCTTTGGCACTAGCTATTGGCTTGGGGGACTAGGATTAGTTTCTTCACAACTTTGTTCAAGTAACAAAGACAAAAGAATGAAATTGAGAAACATCTGAAATAACTAATCCTTAGTCCCCTGAGCCCATGTCCATTTGCACACAGGTAGCCTGAGTTTTTATGTGCTTTAGTCATTTAGTAATATATTCTTCAACTTGTCTATTGTTCATACTATGGTAATTTACCAGCCAATAGAAATGGATGTACCATCTTGATGATCCAATCACAATCATTGTGCTATCCAAATAATATGTTATTTTATTTACCACAATGTTGTCTGCCTGCAAAYTGAATTCCTAAGTCTTTCATTGCCCCAGCAAGTCCATTKGGTTYACGGCTATAAAAAGTCTGGTACAAAATGCAATTGTTTAAGTATTAAAATATAATATTGTAGAAAAGTATTGTTGGTTAGATTTCAGGAGAAAGAATTGAAAGCAAAAGTGTAAAATTGTAATTGGAGACTATAGTAGCCCATCATCATTTGCTTTGAGTAATAATTACAATGATTAATCCGTGTCACCTTATATGTTTCTCTAAGATCAATCCAGGCTCTCAGTGGTGGTGGGACACGATGCCTCTTTCTTTCACACTCTTTCTTCAAACATATTCCAATATCCCAATCTATGAGATCAGACAATTCAATTATGAAAATAGTACACTGAAAAATCATGAATTGAACAAAATACCCAATTTTATATACCTGACCAAGTGACAAAAGTACACCATTTCACATCATTGCAATTTTGGCTAGATTCAGAAGGCTTTAAGACATCACAGAGAAACTGGATTCTTTTATTTTCACTTATTTCTTTTAACCACCGAGAAAAGAGCATTAGACATGTACCAATTGGTATACCACCATCTACTTGTGTCTTTGAATAAGAGAAAATAATCCATATTTTATCAACTTTAATCTTCAAAAAATATATATCTTCATAGCCTGTAAGGTACAGTGGGTGGAGTGGCTTACCAACAATTACTTACTGCAATCAATATATTGCATTTACCTGTGTTATTCCAGTTAATTCTGTACAAAATTCACTGAGTTTCTTGTGTTCACTTGGTTGAACATAATGCTGAAACTCTGATTCAATGACCCCAGTGGATGTGTTCAGTAGAACAGCTGGAAACTCAACTGAAAAGCAAACAAATGTACGTACCATAAAATGAATGGTTGAGAGGAGCAGGCAGGATGAAGATTGTGAATGGGAAAAGAGGAATAATGGGGATAGGAAATGTTTATAATTTTCAGCTACCGACAACTTACTGATTTCTGGTGAATAACTCATTCGTTTATCCTYCCAACACGTTGATTCAAAGTCAATGATCACGAGGTATTGGAAACGTTGTCCTTGGGAAAGTAAACAAATTTAAACTTTAAAATCATCTTTAAATAAGGTGATTGCATGTTGTTCTTCGTA